TGGATATGGGAGCAGATTCAGGCCTGTCAGCTATGTAACGAAGTTTATAGTGGCTTTCTATGTACAAAATGCATTATTGATGCTGTGTGTGCCAGGCCCATGATGTGTAGATATACTCCCAATCCCCAGGCAGTCCCAGGACACCTGTAGGCAGGACAGTGGGCCAGGCAGGAAGAGGATGGTATGAACTGGGTGGAGCTGCCCCATTGGCCCAGCTCTGGCTGAGCAGCTGGAGAGACCTTAGGGATTAGGGCAGTGAGTAGATATTATGAGGAAAGCATGTAGCAGATGACCACCACCAGGGACCCAGACAAAGGAGCAGATATGGTCCTGTCCTTGAGTATGCTCAGCCTGGCCCGGGAGGTATGTATGCAAACAGTGACCGATACAAGGATCTTTTCAGAACAAAGTGACACATGGTCAACATAGTTTATGGAATGCTGCATGCTGTGTGCAGGGTTCCAGGCTGGGAAAGGGATGGAAGAGTTGTTGTCTACCCTCTGGGGCTTGAGAGAGGAGAGGAAGGGAAGAATATAGTCCAAGGTCACAGCAGAAGAGGGAGAAAGAGCAGGCCGGTGTATGCCCCAAGTGTCTGTGCTCTGGAGCTGTGTATGGAATAGATGGTAGAGACAAAGGCTGCGGGGGCTGAGAGGAGATGGGGCTCAAGAAGATTGCAGAAAGTGAGCTTCCACTATAAGGCTTGAAATTAGGGTAGCCTCACAGAGACAAAACTCCCTTTTCTGGGCTGAAAAGAGGCAGTAACAAACCCACCATCAGGCAAAGGACACCTCTGGGCAAAGAAATGCCATTGGTCAGAGGGGTGATGGCTGACAGAGGATATTTTGGAGGAGCCAAGATCATAGAAATGTGAGGCCAGGGCCAGCTAAAAGCACACACTATCATCAGGAGGACAGCTTCCTAAGGACCCACAGCAGCTGCAGGCTCTCTGTGTGGGTCCTGTGTGCTGGAAATTAACAAAGGATGGAGAGCCTGCAACCTGAAGTTTGGCTCTGGGATCCTGGCAGAGCTGCTAATTATTACACAGTCCAAATTCCTGTACTGCCTCTGAGTTCCGAGAGTGTGGGGATGACAAGAAAACCGACCCTAGTTGTGTGCTGCTCCTGACTGCTTTTCCAGGGTGATCCTTGGACCAGGAGCAGTAGCAAGTTACATAATTAAGCTGCAAAAAGGCCCCAGCCAGAACTTCCTCATTAGAAAAAGCTATAGCACACAAAACCTTTGAGAAGAAGGGAAAGGAGGAGAGAGGAGGAGGGGACCGAGGGTGGGGCTGAGGGAGGAGATACAGCCCAGGGCTCAGGAGGGGCTGCCCAGACTGCTGGGGAAAGGAGAGAGGCCTTGCAGGAGGCACAATTCTTGCCACAGCAGTATCTGTCAAAATCAGCAGACCCCAGCACAGTCGATTTTTAAATTCCATCTTGGGGCTTTTGGACACAGTAGCTTTCCCAAGGGAGATCTGCCCTGGAAGGCAGGGCTTGCAAGCAGCTAGCTCTTACATCAGTCTAGCCAGAGAAGGGCAAAAACACACATAATGGTCTAAACAGAAGTGTTCCCCCTTGGCTTTTCCCAATTATTAACCCATGGCTGCTGGACTAAGTAGGGCTGAAGGTCCTTCTAAGAGCAGAAAATAGCCTCAAGTCCAGGGTCCAGCTTCTGGCTAGTAAGGAAAAGAGGATTTTACTTTGCAGTTGAGCCAACAGTGAAACTCAGCAAGATGTGCAGTCACCCAGCTACAAAAGAAGAAAAGAAGTTAGCTTCTGCCCCAGGCCTGAGCTCCTTAGGCTGACTGGTCCCAGAGCGCAGTTTTCAGTGTTTGCAAAAGTGCTGACTCTGCATCGGCCTGTTTTGGGCTCTGTGGAACAGGCTGGACATATTCTCAACTAAACGGGTGGCAGTGCCATTTGGGCAATGGTCCCCCCCAATTTTTTAAGTTGAATTAAAACCCACAATGTAAACTACTCTCTGAAAAGAAGAATGCAAACACACATCACTTAGATTCAACACACCATCTGTGAATATCCTAGTGACCACTAATGACCATGACTGAAAGGAACAAACCAAGAATGCAGAGTGTAAAAAACACATGAAGCCGCCTTCCTAATTCATAGCCAGAGATGACATAACTCCTCCCAAGAGAAGCCTACTATAATTCAGCTCAAGCCAACTGTTCCTTTCAACTTTCTCAAACCTAACATAATACTGTTTATTTGCTATTTTCAAAACAAGTAAATATAACAGCAAAAATCCACCAGAAAACATTGTAATGTGCAAAGATGCTTGGAATATGGAGAGAGCATTCAAATCCAGAGCTGTTGCCTCCTGTCCTGGAAGAAGGTCAAGGGGTCGGGGATGCAGCACCTTGGCCCCATCTTCTCTGAATAAAGACGGCATGGCATGATTGGTAGCCTTAGTTCCCTAGTGCTCAGAGGACTGACACAAGTGTTCCATGATCTCCTGTCTGGAACACAATGTGCGAAGAGCAAGAGTTGCCCCAGGACAGGCAATAAAGGGGCAGACTTGAAAAAAAAATCATAAAACCAACCGGAAGGCAGTCTGCTTTTTGCTAGCATTATGTGTCAGAGTCTTCAGCAATGTCAGTGACCAGATACTCCTCTGTGAAGAAACAGTGTGCTGGTCTACGTGTAAACAATGAGGACCATCTCTGCGAGTGTTAAAATTCAGTGTAAGGTTCAAATGGGAATTTGAAAGAAGATCTTCTTTAGTAAACCTTGTCTTCTCCACAGAAGTTATTTAGAGGACTCCCAGCTCTCTAGTTGGTTGGCCTTGAATTACACGGGGTCAGCTACATGTGTTTGTTTCGAGAGTATACTCACAGCAGTCAGAACTTGCAAGCAAACTCTGGGTGCTGTCTGCCTCTTCCACCTCTGTGAGAATCATAGTCCTGTATGTAAGCAGTGGGTTCCAAGCCTGAGCAAGAGCACAGTGATTTTAAGATGAAGAGGTAGAAGCTGGGTTACTTTAGTGCTGTCATTTTGTGTGACTACCTGGAGCTTTTGTGTTTAAAATATGAAACAAGCTTGGCTGCATATACCCACAATCCCAGCATTCCAAGAGGCTGAGGCAGGAGGACTGCAAATTTGAGCCTAGCCCAAGCAACTTAGGGAGACTTAGGGAGACTCAGGCTCAGAATAAAAATAAAAAAGGGCTGGGAATATAGCTCAATGTGAAGGTCCTTGGTTCAATCCCTAGTACCATGGAAGGAAGGACGGAAAGAAGAGAGGAAGGGAAGGAGAGAAGGAGGGAAAGAAAAGAAAGAAAGAAAAAGAGAAAGAAAGAGAGAGAAGAGAAAAAGAAAGAAAGAAAGGAAAGAAATGGACAGAAATAAAGAAGGAAGGAAGGAAAGAAAATGAAACAAGGGCAGAGGATCTATCTCAGTGGTAGCGAACCTTGTCTAGCGTCCTCAGGGCCCTGGGTTTGATCCCCAGCACCGTAAAAGTAAAAAAAGAAGCAGTAAGACAGAATGTGAACTACAGAGTGTAATAGTTTTGCTTGGTAGGTACAAATCTTAGTCATACGTGTATATTTTACTGAGTTTGAACAATAGCTTTTGAATAGAAGTTTACTTTTTTAAATCATGAATTTTATTGTTTAATGTTAAAGAATTAAGAATACAAAGGAGCACATCAGTGGTACAATTTAATAGTTGCTACATTTTAGGCAACTTTTGGAGATGTCTCATTTTTATTTATCTATTAGTAATTGAACAGTGATTTATGTAAATATCATTATATCAGGCTCCAATCAAAAGATCAAAACTCAAGTAAATATATTTAATAAAAATGTGTATTTTTCCTCCCTCTCTCCCTCCCTCCCTTTTTCCCATGATAATGGGGATTGAACCCAGGGCCTGGCACTTGCTAGGCAGGCGCTCTACCACTGAGCTACATTCCCAGCCTTGTACTTTTTCTTTTTACCTTTATTTTAAAAAATCTCAGTACAATGATATGTATAAGAATTCAATAAGAGATGTTTTATTATCTGCATTTCCTTTCTGGCCACTGCTATAATCATTTCATTCCATTATTATTTCTGGAAATAATGCTGTTCTGTAGAGGAGGAGCCTGTTAAGACAAAGGTCAGCTGCAGCCATCAAGGGGCTGAGGACACTGCTGTTCTGTGAAGTGGCACCTGGGGACAGACGGAGAAAACCCTTTCGACAAGCAGTCAGTCACCCAGGTCTGCAGGAGAGTGCAGGTGGACGGTCCCCAAGCTCGTTGAGTGCTCTGTTATTGCCAGTGCTCCCTTCTCTAAACACCTCCTTACACAGTGAGAGAGAATTCTAGAAGGTAAAAGGCGCAACAATATGAGGGCTGGCCATGACTTCCCAGGGCCAGAATGTGAAATATGAGCAGACCCACAGAAGCTGGTGCTCCTGGCAGGCTCTGGAAACAGGCAGCAGCCAGTGCGTGTGGTCCCTGCAGCCATGACCTACTTCCCAGTCTACTGGCAGGGTCTGGGCAGCCATGACAAAGCAAAAATAAGTGAATTTGGAGTCAGGCCAGGCTAGAAAAAGCTTCAGAACACTATTCGCCTTTTTCTGGGGATGAGAGGCAGAAGCCACGGATGGAAGAGTGTAATCTTGGAAATCAAATAATTAACCAGGGAGATAGTGGAAAAAAACACAGGCTGTAGAGCCAAAAGATCTGGGTTCAAATTCTGATTCACATGTACAGGCTGTGTGACTTTGGGCAAGCGACTCAACCATTATGAGAGTCAGTTTCCTTATTTATAATGCAAGGCTACAGCCCTTTCTCTGAAGGCTGGGCTGAGATGAAGCAAAATTGAATCTGTTCTCTGAGGACAGAGTAGCTCTTCAGTTTTCAGTAACAATATAAAATATTCTATAGGGCCAGAGCAAAAGGCGGGGCTAATATTCCCTCTTTCAGCACTGGCTTGGTGGTGAGCTCCAGAAACTTCTCTAGGAATGCAGAGTGCCAGACTCCATCCAGAGAGGAACTTACTTGTCAGAGGGAGGGTACCGCAGGGTGGGCACCCATCGGCAGCTTCCAGGGCCTGTGCTTCAGGGATCTGCTAACAGCAAACAAGGGTTAAGGTAATCCTTGTATTTTAAATCAACACATGCAAGTCATTTTATACTTAGCAATTAGGGGATTGGATTGCAGGTAGGGAAGAATAACAAGAAGGAATGCCTAAGCTGAGATTTTTAAAAAATGAGGTTTTGTTTTTATTTTGTCATGGGGTAACATTTACTGAGTTCTTCCCGTATATCCCTAAGAAGTAAGTCACAAGCCTGGAAGGGACTGCAATTTTCGATATCACATGGGGAAAGATACTCAGAGGAAAGCAGAGTCAAGAAAGGGTACCTTCCAGGACTGATGACAGCATTTGAGTGGCTGGATCCAGCTGTGCCTGAGATCCCTGAATTTCTCAAATCCAGGAACTAATAAATGATATTGTGTGTGTAACCAGTTTGTTGAGGTCCTGCTACTTTCAACTGAAAAATAAACACTGGCTGAACTCTGAAATCCTTAGCTGCCTATATGCCCCCCTCACCTAAAGTAACATTTCCTTATGTGTATCATGAGTATAATCACATCTTCCCTGGGCATTGTGCCTGCCCCATGTAAAAGGAATATCTTGGCTTAGTTGAAATCAAATATGAAATTTCCTTACTTATAGAAGTAACATGTAACCAGGAAAATGCCTTTATCAGGTCTGGGGAGATTAATTTCTCAAGGGCTTATTTATTCATTCAAAAAGACTCTACTGAGTGTCCAACACCATTCAGGTTGGTGGCTCTCAAGTTTGTGTATTAGAATTCCCTGCAGTACTTTAAAAGTACAGTGTATCCACTGATGTCTGGTCCTACCCTCAGGATCTAGATGCAGCTGCCCTGGGCTGAGGCACCGTGGCTTTTAAAGCTCATCAGGTGATTCTAATCTGTAGTTAAGGTAGGCAACCAGGGTGCAGGAGCTAAGCCACAGCACTGAGCAACACAGACAACCCTTGCCCTTGCGAAGGTGCCTAGAAGGGAAGACAGCTGACAAGCAAGACAAGTGTCACAAGGGAAGGCTGGAGAGTCACAGGAGTGTAAGACAGGGTAATGTGTAGTCTGGGGTTGGATAGAATTTGCCTGAGGGAGTGATATTTAGGCTGAAACCGAAAGGATGGGCACAAGTCTGCAAGGTAGAAGGGAGGAGGTAGGAAAAGGCACTACAAGCAGAGGGGATAGCATATGAAAATGTCTCCTGACAGGCACTTGGGGAGTTTTCTAAAATACAATCCATCGGGAGGCTGATGGAGGAGGATCGCCACAAGTTCAAGGCCAGCCTGGGCTACACAGCGAGTTCAAGGCCAGCCTGAATTACTTAGTGAGAACCTATCTCAAAAAAAACCCAAAACCAATCCCTAAGACTGGAAGATGAGGGAGGCAATGTGCTAGATGTGTGAAATCAAAGAAATGTGGGACATGTTAATGCAGCATCAACCTGGCTTTGCTGACTAATATAAGTGGCTACAGGAGCATGGTGAGGGTGGCCGTGTTGGGAAAAAATGACTGGAGGGAGGTACTGGTTTTGTTTTTTTGTGTGAAAAGGGGAATTATTTAACCTTCTAAATGCTGACAGAGAGAAGAGAGAGATGGAAGGGAATAAACAAAATCTAAGCAAGGTTTCTAAGAAGCTGGAAGAAGTAAAAATATGGAATCTGGGGTCTTGGGGTGGGGAGGGCCTGGCCTCAGCAGAGTTACCCAAGAGAGCTGCTTCTAGAGGTGCATGGGTGCACTTTGGTGGTGACCAGGACAGTCTGAATTAGTGCACCTGGATCAGACGCCAGCCCTGCATTGTGAAGTTCAGTGGAGCAAGCCCCAGATCCTGGGAGTGTGGACATTTATTTATGTCCTCTTCCTAGCATTATCACACCCTGAAAACTAACCCGCCCTCACTGACATGTAAGGACCAGTAGTCTATGCAAATATTCCAAAATGTGAAATACTTCTGGTCCCAAGTACTTTATATAAGGAAAACTCAACCTGTACAAGTCTGCATTCCAGAGCCAGGCTTGGTAGTGCATGCCTATAATCCCAGCACTTGGGAGGCTGAGGCAGGAGGATTACCTTGAATTTGAGGCCAGCCTGAATTAGAGAGTGAGACTCTGGCTCAAAAAAAAAAAAAAAAGTCTGTATTCCAATTTCTCTAATTGTCCAATGGTGTCCTTTTTCCTTTGATCCAGGATTTAGTCAAGGATTGTATTTAGCTGTGATACTTTTCTTTTCTTTTTTTCTTTGAGACAGGGCCTCACTATATACCCCAGGCTGGCCTTGAATGCTCTAAATTGTCCAGGCTAACTTTGAACTTGCATTCCTCTTGCCTAAGCCTCCCAGATGCTGGGATTCCAGGCCTGTGCCACCACACCTGGCTTTAGTTATCTTCTAAAAAAAGACTTCTCAACTCCATTCATTCATTCATTCATTTGGTCTTGGTATTTTGGCCAAGCTGGCCCTGAATTCCTGTACTCAAGCAATCCTCCTGACTCAGCCTCCCAAGTAATGGGGACTACAAGTGCATGCCACCATACTCAACTTAATTCTTATTTTAAACTTATAATGTTTTCTTATTTTAGCAGGGCATGATGGCACATACCTATAATCTCAGCACTTGGGAAGTTGAAGCAGGAAGATCACAAGTTCAAAGCCAGCCTGGACTACATAGTCTCTATCTCAAAATACCAAAAAAAAAAAGTTTTTTTTAATCTTAAAAAGCAACATATGCATGTATTATCAAGTACAAAACAGTATAAAGAAAGAGAAGACCTTTCTTCTGGGGATCTCTCTCTGTCTCTGTCTGTCTGTGTGTCTGTCTCTCTCT